CCTCTATATATATATATATATATATATATATATATATATATAGGTGTCTATTTAACCGGTTACTAAAAAATAGAAATTAAACAAAATGATTTTCTTGCATTTTTCCTGGGAAAAAACACCGTTATTTGGAATCGTCGCTATGGTACTGGGGATATGCCTTTTTAGAAGGAATTTTGAGTTTTCTTTTTCAGAAGGATTCCTGCCAATATTTGGTAATATAAGGCTTGGTTCGCTTCTCATCAACACTTCTTCCTGTGTTCCCACCATGGGATTCGCTACGGCCTTGCAAATGAAGCCATACGGTTGCGCCGCCGCAGCATCGATTTCATTCCGGCGGTCTGTAAGTCCTTTCAGCACCCGTCTACCTTTCCAACCATCGCCAAAAGTTTCCCGACTCAAAGTATCGGCTGTTGTTAAGAAAAGCCCTAAACGCCTCAAGTACGCTTCCCCTCGTTTACCCAAGGTAATCCCTTCCCTTCATTCATGATCACTCCACTAATAAGTTATCTCGAATTATAATCAATGGTCCAAAGTTGAAACTAAGATCGTCCGTATAGATTATTGCATAACATGGCGACTTGGATGAATGTTCACCAAATAATGGCGTATCACATGAATTTGACTGATATAGATGGCAGTTAAGCAGATAAAATCAATTCTGTATGAAAAGCTGGAGGTTGATAGTTTAATACGGGATATCTTATGATTTGGCCATATGAATCGCCTTCATTGAAGCCCTAAAATTCCATGTTTTTATGTGATCATTGTTGTTTCACCACAACAACAGTGATTCTTCAATACAGAATTGCAATAAAATTTTCAGATTCCATCTCATAGCTTTCCCAATCGGAAGTACAATCCTGTATATGGTCAGTGTTTATCTTATGGATTATTTTTCAATTTCATTAAGATGATTACTGGTTATTAACATGATGAGATTTGGGGAATCCAGATTTTCAGGAATTTTTAGATGTAAATAATGGGATACATGAAACTGAAAACTCTCTCCCTGATAGCAAAAGGAAATTGTAGGCAAGGGGTCAAAAGTTGATGCTATAAATGAAACTGGAAACTCTCCTTAATTATGACATTCTTGAATATCTCAGGAGGATGGTCTGCTCTATGTTGAAGTTGATCCCAACGGAGAAGACACATGGAAACTGGATTCAATTGTGGAACTTCTTAAAGAGGGAGCTGTTGGGGTCATTCCGACAGATACTGTGTAAGTTACCCTTCCTTCCAACTGCGTTATCATGAAGGGTTGTCTTTCTAAATAGTTAGTTGTTTTATCTTTTGACATATTCACATATGTGGGAGAGAAATATAATTATGAGGCATGCCATCATAACACATGGAATCCTTTGTTAAAGCAAATTCCTAACGTCGATGATAACTTTAGATATCTTAGGTTGATGCCAACAATAATCAACAAAAACGATTTCTTACCATTCGAAGTGCGCTTGCAAATGGATAGTTTGGAGAGACACAGGTGTTGTTTGAACCTGTTACCCTGTTTCTATTTATCGTTCCTATTATAGGGAAAGAGCGTGATTGCCAATGGGTTTGTATTGGTGAGAAGTTGGGAGAGGAAGCTGATGAATTTTTAGTAAGAGACTTCAAGGTTTTTAGAGGGAAATAGATAAGTTTTTTTAATGCAGTAATGAAAAAATGATGTATTTATGAAAAGTGATTGTAGGCAAGCTTGCCTCTCAATAGATAACACACACAAAGACCAACAGATTTGAAAATAAAGATGAATTTTATTTGAAAATTATTTCAATTTCCATCCAAAGCATGATTTCAGTAAATAACCAAATATGATACTTGGGCTAAGGGTCAAGTTGCTGATTTTCTTACATCTCCTCCCAATTTACACATACAAATACGTTTATGTGTGTGTATATGCATATATGTGTATGTCTCTCATTTATCTCTCTAAATAGTTAATTAATTTATTGACGAATGTTTGTCTTGTCACTGCCTTGTAAATTATAAATATGTCATACAATTACAAAGAGGGTGTAGAGTTAAGATTAAATCTTCAAGATTGAGTGTTCAATGGCATTTATGGAGAGCATTGTAGAACAAGAGTCAGGAATTAGCCTCAGTCTCAACTTGATGTGAAATGAACTTTTCTGATGTTATTCCCACTTATCGTCTATATGTTCTTTGTGGTCTTGATAGGTATGCTATGGTGTGTGATATGAATAACCATGATGCCATTCAACGTCTTCGAAGGTAGATGTTTTTATACTCCCGGAGATTACTTGGAATATGTCGAAGTCTCGCGATTCTTCCCGTGATGACTGTGGTTTCTCTTGTTTTTGTTTTTGTTTTTGGTACAGATTAAAAGATGTAGAAGCTTCAAAGGCAATCATTTATTCTTTCTGCTCTATTGTTCTTATGTCTTGTGGGAAACACCGCCAACAATGAGCCATTGTGGTAGCTTTTTTTCAAAATTTGCTATCTTTTGCAACCCAAGGATACATTTTGAGGGAGAGTATATCAATCGTTGTGTGGTACAATGTTTCTTTTGCTTTATTTTCTTTCTAATGCCATCTAACTACTCTTGCAGCCCTTTAGTATATTGTGTCGTTCCCTCCATGACATAGATACATATACAACTGGGTTCCCTCGTGGAAACAGTGATGGTCTTTCAGACATCTTTCGAGCTGTGAAGCATTGCTTGCCTGGAGCTGTAAGTATATTTGAGCTATCTTGTCTTATTTGTTAAGATTTGCACTTATGTTGACTCTGTATACGGCTTTTCAGAAAAAAATCACTCTGTTCTCGGTTATACATGAAACATGGTTAAAAGACAGCCAATGTTTTTGAATCAAATAATATATATATATATATATATATATATATATGACTACTACTCACACACACTCCTCACCTTTGTGGAGGTTTGAACCCTTTAGCTCTTGGAAGGTTGGGCCCTACCGTTAACCCAGTAACCTGGAAGACAACTAAAATTGTAAGATAATCTGAAGTATAAGTGTTTTCGATCATGTTGTCTTAGGCCATAAGCCTAGAATTGCATTTTCACCTTTCCAATGCGTCATGTGTTATGTGTAATTCTCAACCTGCTTTATTATCCTTTCTGGGTCTTGTCTTAAGAGACGTCACGGCAATAAATAACAACCTGATTCATGAAAATAATAGTTATCTTACTCTTTTTTCAATCTATTTGTTTCCTGATTTTTGGACTTGTGTTGCTAGTTTGACAGTTGGTGCTGATGGGTTTCTGTTTTCTTTTCTTTTGTGTGTTTGTTTATGTAATAGTACACTTTCATCTTAACTGCAAGCAAAGCATTACCAAAACAGTGTATTAAATATGGAACTACAAGTTCTAAATACGCAACTAGGAAAAGTTTGGGTGTCCGCATACCTGATGATATTGTATGTCAAGCCGTATTGGAGAAGATGGGCGCACCTCTGTTTTCCACAAGGTAAGATTGATGGATCAAATAATACCTCTCTCATCATTACCCTAAATGATGGGCAAAAAAACCAGACTTTTCGATCTGGACTGGTCGCGGGCTAGACCATGACATCCTTCGAGCCAGACCAGTTCAGACCATTTAGACTGCCTTGACAAGACCAGATCTTTTAGGACTGGTATGAGCTGGTTTCTAATCTAAGGTCTTGTTTTAATCATCTAAAACTAGTTTACAATGATGGTAGTGGTTAAATTCTTGCATCCTTTGTTACAGTGTCAGGTCACCACAGGAAAATCGATGGATAATCGATCCAGTTTTAATAGCTGATACCTACAGACAAGAGGTACCCTAAAATTAGACCAAACCCATAAGTTGACTTTTGCTACGGAATAGAATCCATTATTCCGTTGGATATCGTTGTTACTGGAGTTCATTTTTCTTATGTATACTTATTATTCCAGGGCCTTAATTTTGTCATCGATGCTGGTGTTAGGGTGGCTAACCCATCGACTGTAGTTGACATGATTCAGATTCCCCCAACAATTGTTCGCCAAGGAAAGGTATCGTTTAGACCATCTCCATAACACCAAATTGGTGGGCCAATAACATCAAAAATCTATCCATCTCCAACCACACGGCACATGCCGTTTTTCTCTCCCATCTTTGGCAAAATGTCGTTCATTGTGCCTGCCGGTTGGAGTTTCCAAACCGGCAAAACGGATCTTTTTGCCATGGGGTCGGAAATGCCCTTAAATGCTAATTATGACCAGTGAGGACTGTACAAAGCCACTTGCAAGAATCTGATATCATGTATGACATCGGTGATAGGGTCCGAAACAACCATGGATGGCTGAAGATGATGATGCTGCTGCTGCTGAAGAACGAGAGTCGATCTAGTGTGTTGCGTAGTTAACGGCCCTACCGTGTAGAGTTGTAAAGTGTGAAGCTTAGACTCGCTTCCATGCATCGACACATAGAGGCCAGAAATCATGTATATTAATCACACAAAGATGTAACATTTTACCTAAAGAACCGTCATACAATCATTTCCCAATTGTAATTTGTAAATACACAAAAGAGGTTGGCTCAATTCGCAAATGAAGATTAGATTTTGAGGTTCATCTCTATATGTCACAGTTAAAGTCGCTTACTAGCATCATAATCTATGGAGTTCTCAAATGATTAAACTCTCACACATCTATATATATATATATAATTTTATTGAAAAAACTTATTTGAAAGTGCATATGTGAACCCATATGGATAATATGTACATATATATATATATATATATATATATATATATATATCTAAAAGTAGATTTTTCAATGGATTCATAAATAAATCTCTCTTTTTCTCTTCTCACAATATTTAGCTTTGTTATTTCAGCCGACATCTTTGTTTGTGTATATATATAATTAGGATGGCAAAAAACCTGCACCCGATGGGGAATCCGGTACCCGATCCTGGTTTGACCAAGGAATCCCTAAATTTATAAACTCGGGATGGGGTTGGGGATGAGGAGACCCTTCATCCCGACTCCATATCCGTCCCCGAATATTAGTTATACATATATATATAGACTTGGGATCATGTGAGACCAGCCTGTTTTCGTGAGACCCGTGAGACCAACATTTTACACTTGAAACTTCACAGCAAAAATGCTGTGAAGGTGACTTTTTAAAACCTTCACAGTGTTTTTGCTGTGAAGGTTCGACTTTTTAAAACCTTCACAGTGTTTTTGCTGTGAAGTTTACGTGTAAAAATGTGGTCTCACGGGTCTCACGAAAACAGGCTGGTCTCACGTGAACCCAACCCTATATATATATATATATATATATATATATATATATATATATATATATAAAAATATATTGAGAAACCCAATTAGTATATACAATATATAAATATAATCAATCTTCCATAATGAAAAACTTGTACAAGAATTACATTACGGATTTGGTTGTTCTTAAGAAGTTTTTGTTGATAGAACTATGTGATTATATAAAGGGAAAAGTTTAAAAAAACTAACAAACATTTCCATTTTGCATAGTTTAGTCTCTAAACTATTTTTTTGAATGAAAAAAACTATTAAACTTTCTCATTTTGAACGATTAAGTGTCCGGACTATTTTTTAATGAAAAAATCATTAAAAATTTCATTGATTAAGTTTTTGAACATTTTATAATAAATAAACCATTGCATGTTTAGAAATTGGTTACTAACATCCATTTAACCCCAAAAAAAGTTACATTAAGTGACTAGTAAAAGTCCGATGGTTTATTTAATTTAAAAAAATCAAGGCCTTAATCATCTAAAAGTGAAAGTTTAATGGTTTTTTCATTAAAAAAATAGTTCATAAACTTAATCATGCAAAATGAAAAAGTTTAATTGTTTTTTCGTTCAAAAAAATAGTTTATTAAACCATTCAAAATTAGAAAGTTTGTTGTATTTTTTAGACTTTTTTCTTATATAAAACCTCAATTATTAAGTATTGTAATTAATATATATTTGTGTCATAACTATATTTTTTATGTTATCATATACAAACGTAAGAATTGAAATATGGGTAATTAATATTTTAACATTATATATCGTTTAAACGTAAAATTAACATTTATATACATAATATATAAAAACATTATATAAAAAATTAAATTGAGAAAAATCTCTGATTCCTGGACCATGAGCCCCATTTCCCATGGAGATGAAGGGGCTGTTTGGCAGTTGCTGAATGATTTAGTTCAGAATAGCTAAGAGGTTAGAATGGCTAAGAGGGTCAGAATGGTTAAGTGCTGAATGAAACAAAGTTGTTTGGTAATTGTTTTCTGAATGACAACAAAATTACCATTTTAACCCTCAAGAAATACAATCAATTCTAAACATTCTTTTAGAAAAAAAAGATGATGTTCTTCATGTTCTTCATATCAAGATCACAAATCCTCAAGAAATTGCAAAATATAGGTAATCCAATCATCATTAACATTGTTACAAACATGAAATTAGCAATAAACACCATCAATTTCCAAAGAAAAATGCTACCCTAAACCAAACCCTAGACAGGAGAGGACGCAACAGTGACGAGATGCAAACCCTAGACAGGATCGGCGACGGCGACGGCGACGGCAACGACAATGTGAGGCTGTGGAAGGCGACGAGCGGCGACGGCGACGTGAGGCTGTGGAAGGCGACGAGCGGCGACGGCCACGGCGACGTGAGGCTGTGGAAGGCGACGAGGCGATGGAGGTCACCGGCGATGGAGAGCTGCGCGTCACCGTCACCGAAAACAGAGGTCACCGGCGATTTTCCCTTAAGGAGACGATGATCTAGCGTTTGGTGTGGAAGGGCGATGTGGAAGGGTAGAGAAGGAGAGAGTGGGCTGGTAGGTGTGGAAGGGTAAAGAGGGAAACTTAATCATCTGAATGGTTTAGCATGGATTCAACCTCAAAATGGTTAAGAGCTTTGAGTAACCATTAAGAGGCTTTTATTTTTTTGCCAAACATGTCTCACCTCTGACCGATTAAGAGGTTCCCTCTTAATGTCACCATTAAGAGGGAAACAAACAGCCCCGAAATCTTATTTCCCAATAGAAATGGAGATTGCGATCCCTTTTACTCTTAGTGTGCGTTTGGTATGCAGATTACATGGGACAGTAGAGACAAAAAAAATAGTCCATATTTGGCATGACATGGACAAAAATTACATAGGACAAGATAAGACTATTTTAAAATCTGATGGGACAAAAGTGGATGATTTTTGTTCCACGAAAAAAAGTGGAACAACATGAGACTAAATGCAAATTTACTATCTTACCCTTAAAATCCAATAAAAAAACTAAACCCTCCTTATCATCGTCTCTTTCACATCCACATTTCCACGACCAGAGCTCTTCCACATTGCCTCCTTCCACACCGCCTCCTTCCATATCGGTATGATTTCTCTTTTGGCATCGATTTCTTTTTGCTGCGCCAATTTCATTATTGCGATTCTTTGCTGCGTCGATTTCTGATTTCTTTTTGACTGTAAACCCTAACAAAATCGATTCCACATCGTTCTTCTCTTGGATTCTTGACTGTAAACCCTAACAAAATCCTCTTACTAAGTCGTTTGAGTACCATTAAAAACCCACATGCATGTTCAAATTTCTGCGTAAAAAAGGAATTGATAGAGATGCCATAGTTGATTTTACCATAGTTGAGGAATTGGTCGTTTGAGTACCATTAGAATCTAGGTAACTATCATCTTGTAGAATGGAAATGCCATAGTCGATTTTATTGCCTCAAGAGTTAGTTCAAGATTGTGGGTAGAACATGTGTGATAGGAAACTGTCACCTGTATGTTTGCAATTTCATAAGTTTATTATCATGACATTCCATGTTTTAGTTGATTTGTTGTTATTTTACAATCATTATATGATACAAAATAACATTGAACAACATTTAAAGGTAATATGGTCATTTTAACTGTTTTGTCCTGTCATGTCCTAGTTGTACCAAACATGGGACATACAATTAGTCCCGTCCCGTCTCGTCATGTCCCGTCCAGTCTGCGTAACAAACACTACCTTAAAGACTGAAGAGCATCTTCAATCATGTCAAAAAAAAAACACCAAATATGATAGATCCATCAACACTAAAAACAAAATCTCAACTGCAATTACACTCTAAAAAAAACCAAATTTACGAACCTCATATTAAAATAACATATTTTATTTACAATTTTTTTTGATTTGAACCGAGATGCTATGCAATCTCTAATATACACACACACAACCTCATTGAATAAAGGCCATTTTAATTTGAAGTTGGCATCTCTTGAAAACGGGGGGATAAATTTCAAACTCCCGCCAAAATTTTCAAGACTTTTAAACCAAGTTTGATCTTCTTTTTTTGTGATTTGTGAAGCAGGTTTGGTTTCCATCATCATTTTCCCGCACACCAAAAATTCAAAATCACCCGCTTCCCATTCAAATCCAGCCTCCAAAACTCCCATTATAAAATACCTCCCCACCCTCATCATCTTCTTCAAATCAAATCATCTCCAAATTCCCCCCACTTTCTCATAACCAGAAAACATGCCTTCAATCCCTGAAGAACCTCTTCTTGCCCCAAATCCAGATCGATTCTGCATGTTCCCAATCAAGTATCCACAGATTTGGGAAATGTACAAAAAAGCTGAAGCTTCGTTTTGGACGGCGGAGGAGGTCGATTTATCGCAGGATCAGCGTCAATGGGACAACCTAACCGACGGTGAGAGGCACTTCGTCACTCACGTCCTCGCCTTCTTTGCCTCCTCCGACGGAATCGTTTTGGAAAACCTAGCCGGAAGGTTCATGAAAGAGGTCCAAGTTGCGGAGGCGCGTGCGTTCTACGGATTCCAGATCGCGATCGAGAATATTCACTCGGAAATGTACAGTCTCCTTCTCGAATCATACATCAAAGATTCCAACGAGAAGAACAGGCTCTTTCACGCCGTTGAAACCATCCCTTGCATCCAGAAGAAAGCCAAATGGGCGCTCCGATGGATCGACGGATCTGAATCCTTTGCCGAACGTATCATTGCCTTTGCCTGCGTCGAAGGCATCTTCTTCTCCGGCAGCTTCTGCGCCATTTTCTGGCTCAAAAAACGAGGTCTGATGCCAGGACTAACATTCTCAAACGAACTGATCTCTCGAGACGAAGGCTTGCACTGCGATTTCGCTTGTTTGCTCTACAGCATGTTGAAGATGAAACTGAGTGAGGAACGAGTGAAGGCGATTGTGGCGGATGCGGTGGAGATCGAAAGAGAGTTCGTCTGTGATGCGCTGCCGTGCGGGTTGGTGGGCATGAACGGCGATCTTATGAGCACATACATTGAATTCGTGGCAGATCGATTGTTGGTGGCTTTGGGATGTGGGAAGATGTATAAAGTGCAGAATCCATTTGATTGGATGGAGCTGATTTCGTTGCAGGGGAAGACCAATTTCTTTGAGAAGAGGGTGGGCGAGTATCAGAAGGCTTCTGTGATGTCGAATCTTAATGGAAATGGCGATTCCCATGTTTTCAAGATGGATGATGATTTCTGAAAACTTAACCTAAAATCATGACACTTGTTTGCTTTTGGAATACTAATTTTTTTCTCTTCTATAGTTTGTATTTTAGTGTTATGTTTTTATATATATATTTTTTTAATGTGTTTGTTTTATATATTGAATTTTTAATACCAAGGGATTGTTTCTTTACTTTTTAATAGTTTTAGTAGTTTTAAAATCTATTTTAATAGTTAAGAAATGAATTTTGTTTGGCAAAAAATTTTACTTTTTAATAGTTCTAAAATCTTAATTATTATATATTTTGGGTTCAGTAAGCTACTATTGCACACTCTTTCAAGGGTTCCTCTTAGGTAGAAACTTCATAATTGGACCTTTCAATTTTAAACTAACTTTTAAGAAAAAAATCAAACCAACATGTTCTATATAGAATCAGTCGAGATTGCTGGTACTCAACCTGTTACTCAAATTACATAATATCAAACCAACCTGTTTTTCTAAAACATAAAAAAGATTAAAATCTTTAAAAGAAAATTAAAATCAAGAGTACCAGGAAGTCTTTGGTTTAAATCCAAGTTGAAATAAAAATCTCTTTATGGGCATAGAGGTTTAACTGTAGATTATTTGTAAAGCCGATTGAATATTCGGGTTAATCAAGAAATTAAAATCTAAACCCTAACATTTTAGAGGGTTCAAGACTTCAAAGCATATTTTCCGGTTTATTTTGCTTGTAACCAAGTCCTCCGTTTTGACTATTCTTCCCTAAACAAAATCTCCCACTTCGGCTTCCTCACTCTGCATCTTCCATGATCGATGATGAGAAATCGCATCATCGTCTCCGAGAAACCGTTATTCATCACCATTGTCATCGCCGTCATAATCACCGGCGGACTTACCATCTCCAGCCTCCGCAGTACCGGTGGAGCAAACCCCACATCCATCCTCTGCACATTCGTTAACTCCCAATCCCAAACCCAACTCAAAGACCCCACCACCACCCATTTCTCCGCCATCATGTACTACGCCACCGCCCGCGGCGTCGCTGCCCAACAAACCCTCCCGGAGATCAGAACGGTTTTCGACGTCCTGCAAACCCTCGCTCCCTGCAACCTCCTGGTCTTCGGAATCGGCCACGAATCCCTCATGTGGTCCGCCTTCAATACACGTGGCACAACCTTATTCCTAGAAGACGATATTAAATGGGTCCAAAAAACCCTAAGCAACGCGCCCGCCCTTCGCGTGCATCACATCGCGTACGAAACTCAGTTATCGGAGGCCGAATCGCTTCTGGAGTCGTATAAAACCACCCCAAAATGTCTACCGCCGCAGGTGGACCTAAAAGGAAACACGGAGTGCAAGTTAGCACTGAGTAAGTTGCCGGAGGAGGTTTACCGGCGGGAATGGGATGCGATAATAATTGATGGACCGAGGGGTTATTACCAGGAGGCGCCAGGAAGAATGGCGGTGATATTCTCGGTGGCGGTGATGGCTCGCCGGAGACAAGGTGCCGGCGATACACATGTGTTGGTTCATGATGTGAATCGGAAGGTAGAGCAGGAGTATGCAGAAGAATTCTTGTGCAAGAATAATTTGGCGAAGGCGGAGAACAGGCTTTGGCATTTTAAAATACCGCCGGCGGCGAAAGATAGCCCCACCTTTTGCTAGTTCTTTCGTCGGAAAAATAATTATTTTCTTTTTGTTTTAATTAGAAAAATTAAATTCGTTGATGAATTTAGTTAATTTTGTATATTTGTTTTAGTTTTTTAAAATTTTAATAAATACGAGGACTAGATTATGACAAAATTACATGTGAATTTAATTTAGGGGTCGTTTATTTAAACACTTACCCGATAAGCGCTTATCGGTAAAATTCAATACTGTCACTTACTTACCGGATAATATTTTATTCATTAAAACGCAACGTATGCAACAATTTATCCCGGTAAGCGCTAACCATGGTAAAAATCATTGTCCTCACTTACCAGGTGTGACTCTTGATTCTTGCTTTCGCTCTTACCGGGTAAGATTCTTATGGGCCGTTTACTAAACACTTACTTGGTAAATGTTTAACGCAAAAATTTCCTCATCGGATGAACATGATAAGGGCCAAAAATCTTACCATGTAAGAGGGATGAGAAGAATAGAGAGTCTTACCCGATAAGTGATGATAACGACTCTTACCCAGGTAACCATTTATCCATCGTGTTTGTTAATTACACGAGTAAAATAATTTTTTGATATCAATTTTCTCCATTTTAACATTAGCTTTTAAAAGAAAATCTTAAATGACTTCTCTTAAACTCGTATCGTATGCTGAGAGATGCATATGAATATAGCAGAGAAGAAATGAACAAATCCTGATAAACTCTATTTTTCGTCATTTTTGTCTCTTTCTCTATCTCCCTTACCTTTCCATTAGGGACGGACCTATAGTGATTCATATAGTGGCACGTGCCACCATATCATTCATCCGTTGAAGGTAAAAAGATTTAGGTTCGTGAAAGGTGCAATCGTATTAATTTGTTTTGTGCCACCGTATGTATTTTTAAACTACAATGAAAACAAGTTTTATTTGGTATAGTTGGTTTGCAAGGCTTTTATTCCACCCCAGACCCAAGTTCGAATCATGTTAGTGTTATTTTCTTAGTCAATGGTGTCACCGTTTGAAAAAATTTTTGTATATTTGTTTCTTATAGTCAAACAGTGCTACCTTTTGAAAATTTCCCAATATTTTTTTTATAGTCAAATGGTACCGCTGTTTGAATTTTTTTTTGGGTCCATCCCTGCTTTCCACCGTATGGACATCTTCAAGGAACGGCTCGTCTCATCTGTTTTTGAAGCCACCGTCGTAAAGAAACTTGAAGAGAAGAAATCAAATCAAAAAAAGAATTCAGATGAGTTGTTTACATGTATATATATCTATACTATATTATAAAGCATTTGACAAAAACTCTTAAAAACAACATTTTAAACATTATGTACTGCTATATAATGCTAATTACTTAATTTTTAAATTTATAATTTGTCAATGCTTGTGTACTACTTATTGAAAAACCTAAGCGAGATTTAGATAACCTCAATCTTCCATCAAGAGTTAACATTCATCCATATCGTGATATCTATCGGTTTCAACAGATTTAGAGATGGGTATACATATGATTTGATATTAAAATCGATACATTTTTTTTCAAAATTTCATGATACATTCAAATTTATATTTTATTCAATAAATAGAAATATTATCGTTTTTCAGTACCACATAAAATCGTATTATAACATCGACGGAGACAGAATAAAACGAAACATTAAAATCGAGTTGTATCTCGTTGCATTATGCAAGTACCCTGTCTAATTGTTAATAATGTTGATGGTAAACTTTGGATTTTATGTTAGTTTTTGGATGCACATGTATAAGCTTATTGTTAGTTGTTCTTAATGGTCAAGGTAGAAAAGATGAATATTGGATAAAAGAGTTCAAAGAAGTGTTCAAAAGAAAGAAATTGGTAAAAAGACATATTTGCCCTCGTAATTAACGAAGATGGTAGACGGAAGTTAAAATAAGAAACCAAATCCAAAAAGAATGCTAACAACAAGGAATTTTCGGTAACAAATAAAATTCAAAGACGAATTCCGTAATTTTAACAAACCTCAAGGACCAAATCTGCATATTTTAATAAAGTGATTAATTAAAACATGAAAAAGAATGTCGAGAGTGGGATTTGAACCCACGCCCTTTCGGACCAGAACCTTAATCTGGCGCCTTAGACCAACTCGGCCATCTCGACTTGATGTTCATAATGGTTCTAACAAGTTATAAGGCAAGACATTAATATTATACTGTGTAAGCGTTACTTCCGTTGTTAGTGTAGACCAGCAAACGTGGCAAGATCAGGCGATTTATCCACAAAAATTCCTGGAAAATACCTCCATGAACGCACCTACTAAAGGATAAGGTACATAACCCTGACTACTACTGCTAGTAGTAATATCGTTCGTCTTTTCTCAATCCTATCCTTCATTGAAGGCAAACATTCTTCACTTCTCGTTGAGTAAGAACACCAAACCCTAACTTTATGCACTTGTTTTACTTATGTGTAATTTGAATATTGAGATGCTGTTGCTTTTGCAGAGTGATGGCGACGGCAACCGCTCTAAGTTTTAATTTGGTTGGAGCTTTTAAAGGACTATCGTTTGGTTCAAGTTCATCTTCTTCCTTCATCAAAGGAGATTTTGGATCTGTTCCCACGGCTCGTAGGATTTCAACTTCGTTGCCGATGAGAATGCCATTGACGATACAGAATGCGCACAAGAAAGGAGCTGGAAGTACAAAGAACGGTCGTGATTCGAAAGGTCAGAGGCTTGGCGTTAAGATTTACGGTGACCAAGTTGCGAAACCTGGTGCAATTATTATTCGACAACGAGGAACAAAGGTATATGAGCTTCAGTTACTTTCAATTGCTTTGTAATTATGTGAAATCAATTTGGTTTTTGCTTGTAGAATTAAGCCCTAAATCCTGGTACATATGCACATACAGAACCCAGCCGTAAGAACAATAAGGAAACTGTTATTTTACTAAAACAATTCACGAATCACAAGCACAAGAGATACATTTGGTGATTAAGCTTAGAGGCCAAGATTAACAGTTCAATTGGTAGCAGATTGTCAATTTGTTCGTGGTTGGTTATATACAGACTTGAATCATCTTAAAATTCATGTCATGATTACCTTGTGATCTGTGTAATAAAGTTAGCACTTCAGAATTTCATCAGAACTTGGAATAAATGTGAGATTTGATGTGTAAAACCGAATTTTATGAATCACTACGTGGGCACTGTGCCTTTTAATTGAACCAGGTTCCCTAATGTGGCCGTAATAGGCTAAATTGAATCAGTTTCTCATATGTTACCATAGTAGTAGCTAGTAGAGTAACTTGATCTAGAAGTTAATTTTTAAGACACTGGGAAAGAAACAAATTATGTGGCCATAAGCCTATAATTGTTGATTGAGTTGAGTGGCTGGATCTAGTTGAATATTGCGTGTTTTGCAGCATTGAATAGATGCCTGTTTTGAGCACCTTTCATAAAATCTCCCAGTATGCGCGCTTGGGATGACAGCTGCTTACTTCTGGGCCTTCTGTCAAAGAACTTGTCACCTCTTTTAGATGATTAGAAATGGTGAACTTGTCAAACTTCGGTAACCAAGGTTTTAAGGTTTTTAATTGCATGTTCTATGGGAGGCAATGGAATCTCCATTAAGCTTTGATATGTTAAGCGGACTGAAGAGAGGTGCACTACTGTCTTTCTACTAACTGGGCCTCATCACTTTGCTGTTCTCTCTGATTTAGTATTCTTCTATATGGTAATCTTTTGGGAGGAAGTATGCATAGAAGATTTCCAGATTGTGGTCGCTTGGAATTTAGAAAAGCATTAGCTGATACTAATGGTTAGGCATTAATATTTTTCCATTTGGTTTTGTGTAATCTGGATTCCATGGTTCTTTAGGCTTCACAGTTTACTAATGAGACATCATTGGTTCATAGGGGTTCCAAATCGGCTGAAATCTTTGGGTTCTTTTTATTAGGTTGTTTATGTTCCTTGTGCTCCAGAATACAGATGTTGCACTAATTTTAGTTTTCTATGCATCAATTTGATTTATGGAATTCACCGATCTCATGAGGTTCCATGATACGATTATGGAATAGACCTTTGTATCACTACTCTTCCTATATGACCTACATGCTTTATAACTTATCCAACAAGTTTGAGCTTCATTGAACAAGTTAGAGTCTCGCAATGTTGTAGCAAGACTAATTTACTCGGTTTTAGAACCTTCTGTGTGAGAGTATTGCTTAAAGCTTGAACCACTTGTGGTACTTTAATAAACCAACTTAGTTTTTTTAAGTATATAATACTTGCATACAGCAAAACTCACACACAGTTCTCAACTTTGATAGGGCTTGAACCCTTGACCTCTAGGGATGTTGGGCTCTACCCTTAACCTGGGTACCGCTGGGCCTAAAGACCCTTTGGCAAGACAACTTAGGAGCTGTTTGGTTGGTTTTCTATTATAGAGTTGTCTGTGTGGATTAATCTGGTTGTATAGAATGTGAAGGTTTTTGTTTGGGAGGAGCATGTTTGGGAAAAAACTTGGTTTTAGGTATAAAGCCCCCTCTAGAAGCTTATTGAATAAGCCACTTTCTATACCATTAAGCTACTACCAAATAGTCATATAGCTGACCGAATAAATTGTGTATCTCATCAAGCTCATTAAGCTGCTAACAAATAGGCCCTTAGTTCTTGTGTTCAGGAGATGTACTAAACCTCAGGAAAAAGCCTTTCAGATCAACACATGTTTTCACTATTTCTTGGTATAACATAAAGCAGCAACTCCGATGATATGCCATTCTCTTTTTTCAGTTGCAAAATAATCGTCTTGATTTTAATATATACTTTAAAAGGGAAAAATTGACCAGTTGTTTTGCTTTCTTCTTTGTAATTTTAGGTTCATCCAGGAAAGAATGTTGGGATTGGCAAAGATCACACCATCTTCTCTCTAATTGATGGATTGGTCAAGTTTGAGAAGTTTGGACCTGATAGGAAAAAGGTAAAATCTAATTTCTTTAACCTTCGGGTTAACTCTTTCGACCATATCTCCGTTTGATATATAAATGTATATGATGCATACAAAACGACAGGTGAGCGTTTACCCACGTGAAGTGCAGCCTGAAAACCCAAACAGTTACAGAAATAGAAAGAGAGAATCATTCAGGTTACAGCGTGAACGCCGAAAGGCAAGAAAGGAGCTTAGGGAAGGGACCGTAGCACAACCTTTGTTGGTGATGGCTTCGGCTACTGGTACTGCCGCTGCTGACGACAATGCTGATTGCTGATTCCTGATACACGGGTAATCTTGAACGTTGGCTTCTTTCACTAGTGCCAATAAGCATTTGGACAGTTGCAACGCACAAGCATTACGTTTTTTTGTATGTGTATTTTATTTTCTGTGAAGATGTTGCCTGTAAGTACTGAAACTTTATTTTAACTTTCTAATCCTGCATATGAAAGAGAAAGTTTAAGGCTGCATATTGCGTTTGTACACAATCTTAAATCCTATCCCTTGTTATACTAGTTGTTCACACTTGTTGAGGAGGCAGCCATAAATCAAGGTTTTCCGATACTTACGGCAAGAGTCGCTACCCTCACTTGGTTAACATTATTGTTCATCAAAATTGATTGTTGGTAAGCATCTTTTACCGGGTAAGATTATTAGTCCTCTTACTATGCCACTTACTAGGTAAAATTTGGCTATTGTGATGCTACTGTGTAGGTAAACTGCCCTTAGTCAGGCACAAAGTAACCAAACAGGGATGCAGAAGAAGCATCCCTTGACTTATTCTTGGGGAAAATGAAGTAAACAAGATGGCTTTTGGAAGCTGCAAGATTAGTCACGAGGATGATCTTGTAAAGCACCCATGCTAAAAAACCTTATAGTTGGACAGTAATTTTGACCTCCCCATCTCCAACTAATTCTCGAAAACTAAAAGTCAAAATCTTCAAAATTATATTTATTTTTAACAGCTTCTCTATTTTAGAGATTTACAATATGAATTACATTATTAAAATATCTAATACATTTTATAAAATATTGTTGTTCTCTCATATAAATTTAATTTCAAAAATTCTTATTGGTGGGAAGAATAAAAAAATTACTTCTTTTTCCTCGGTAATTATTTTTGGAGAGTTATCTGAATTTGGAAAATTTCATCCATCTCTTTCTTACTTTCTCCAGGTTTAGGGGACATGAATAGATAATGGTGCACAAAAACCAAACCCAGAAACAAACATGTGAACCTATCCAACATTCAACCACAAATATATGAATAACATACACGCACCCCCAGATGACTACAGAAGCAAAGCCCATACCTTCAAAAAGCTATGACACAGGTCATCCCAGCTACAACATTACCCTAAGGGCCACCTCAAAGACGAGTACAGGTTTCGACTCGGTGTTGGTGTATAAAAAGCTTGTCATCAGAGTGTTCCTGGTCTCGTAATAACATGGAAGAAGAAGAGAACGACAATGGAGAAAAGATACAAATTAACCTTTGACGTTACCACAAGGCTAACAACACGACATCTCGATTCCTGACTAGATTTTGGAAGAAGGCAAGTGCCGGAGATGAGAATGACGATAAATCCTCTTGGTGCAATAAGTGGAAGGCATGATTTGTCCCCTAATAAAGGGGAGGGTCAGTGGGAGGAAATTGAAGCAATAAAGCCGACATGGTTCCCTTCAGACCACGACACCCAGAGGAGACTAAAAACAGTGGCATAACTTTCGCACTAGTAAGGATTTTGAAATTGAAAAAGCTTAAGGAGCCTCCAAAAGAATAAAACTACCTGTAAGGTACAATAAAGGCAGTTGATTTCTGGAGCATGCTAAATATAACTTTAAACATGAAACGTAAACAACTATCAGTGGTGGCACATTCGAGCACAGGTGAAACAATAAAAGCAGAGGATGTAAAAACTAGTACAAGTTCAACAATAAAGTAGATGATATAAAAACTAGTATAAGTACCGAATAACAAATCTCATTCTACTTGAAAGGAACACCAAAAAAGTTTCCTAAAATACAGCATAGTTCTCCTTTTAAACCATTTTGAACACAACTAAGATCCTCCATGCATCCCTTGATGATCGTATGACCTGATAAGCCAAAAAAAGCACTTGTTAGCTAAAGTTGTAATACAAGTTTATCAGGTGAACTCCTTTGGCTGCAAACATATATATTGTTAGTTGTCACCAATGCGTGATTGGCCCATCGCTATCCAGGTTACCGGTAAAGCCCAACCTCCAAGGAGGTCAAGGGTTCAAATGATCAAATCCCACCAAAAGTTAAAGTGTACATGAGTATTTTCCGTTTATACATAAATAATATATACTTGAACAAAAGGCATAGATTTGTCAGCCAAACCAGTATAAGGTACAGAATTAGTCTCAACATAAAAGACAAAATATTTGATATGAATATGATATGCTCTAACAATGGCCTAAGGCAGTTTAAATGTCGCTTTGGAACACAATGTGGTTACATGAAATATAATTAAACCAGAACAGTTGAAGCCAAACAGTTCCTTCAATTACATATATTCATGACACAACTTTTTACCAACTGTTAACAATTTTTTATATGGCTTTAGGCAAAGAGATACCCCCACATCGTCTCTTGTGAGACTCAAAACCCCTCAACCTTTTAGTTGATGGACCTTAACTGGTGCACTAGGTACCACTAGGCCAAATGCCTTTTGGCAATTACATAGTTGTTATGGATCCCAATAAGAGCTGAACCAAACTTAAATGGCTGTATGATTACAGAATATGAACCAAATTTCCAGAGCTCCTTTCAGAACCATGAATATATTCAATACAACCGTGATAAATATGGCATGCTCTTACATACTTGCCAAAAACCTGGTCCAATTAACCATATCTAGTTTGATTGATTCTCCTATGTTATACACTTCCCTCTTTTATACGTGTGAGAATATGGCTTGTTGATCCCATGGTAACAGAAGTTTTGTGCATCAAATTAAACATGCTCTTTCAATACCAGAGCAACGAATCTTGGTGAAGATTTACAAGAACCGTGTATCAGAAAAGGTGATCTTATAGCGGAGCAGGCTGCATGACAAATACCTTACACATAACCAACTAAAGACCTAAAAGTTCCTTAATAAATGCTAAGAGACAAGTAGGTATTAACACGATCTACTCATATGCGCGTATATCAAATCAACACTTACAATTGTCAAGTCAATCAAACATTTGCAAAACGTAAAAATACACAGAAAAAACAAATTCACCTCTACACAGATCCGACAATTATGTTGTTGATAGGGATGAAGATGAGCTTAACGAAGAACCCTACGAATCCCATCACCACGAAACCAATGGCCGTACGAACCGCAACCTTCGAAAATTCTGTAAACAAGCCAATCAATACTTAGATCGACAACAAGAGAGCAAGATCTGGAATTCAAATAAGTCAACCAAAACTGAAATTGTGTAGTGCGTACCTTTACGATCAGGCTTGTGGCATCTCTTCACTAGACGGTAGCTATCCTTTGAGAACTCTCTCAATGGCTCGAATACTGAATCCAAGGCATCCATGATCGAAAGAAATATCGGATCTGGAAAGAGAATTAGGGATTCGGATGCAGATGCGGAGGAAACAAGGAGACGAGAGCAAGGTTATACGCCAACGATACGCGTTGAACCCAAAACCGATTCTTTGCCCCTTTTATTGCGAAAATTTCAAAAATGGTCCTTGGTTTTAAACAATATTCATTTTTGATCCTTGAAGTTTAATATTTGTATTTTTGGCATTTTAATTGAAAATCTCTTATTAGCTTGACCCAAAAATATTTAACGGAAGTTTCATCCATCAAATTAATGATCCGTCATCCACGTGAACATTTCAAAATAATAGAAATGTAACAAGTTTGTGCATTATAATCTTGCATTGTGTTAATTTTACTGCAAAAAATTATTATTGAACAGGTGTACTCTTATTACATGAGATTTTTTTGGTTTTTGGTTGATTTCAAGTGATTTTTATCAGGTTTTGGTTGATGTTCCTTGTATTTACGGATGCACATTTTGTACCAACAAAATCTACTTACGAAAACAAGTTGAACGGATGTATGGGACCCGACTTATGGCTTAATATTGCCCTGTTTTATTTGCTTTGCATTGTAAAACTATAAAACTAAAAGACAAAGGATCAAAACTGACAATGTGTAATTGTCAAGGACCTTTTTGTTATTTATTTACTTACGTGTCATTTGGGGTTGGTTGAAGGTGGGCGAGTTTCGTCATCCTTTCCTTGCTGGCAGTGCCACGATGGATTTATATTGTACAGTCACCACTCACCACGTTAACAGCGTCTACAACACAACGATCAGCTTCACCTTGAATTGTTCAAAATTACAATCCATTTATTAAGTAAGGGTTAGTAAATATAGTTTACCAAATGATTATCCGGTACATGGTTACCGGCTAGAGATATAACATTCGTTTACATTATCATGTAATATTTCTGGTCATTAAAATGAATTGTTGGTAATTGTGATAAGTTCTTACAATAAGATTTTTTACATTCCTCTTACAGGATAAGATTCTAGTAATTGAACTGATAAACGCTTACCGATGTTATTTTCCAATAAACATCCCAAATATCGTTAGAATCCATCAATAAAGTACCACTGGAACTAGGGGTGTTCATTGGTTGAAATCCAATGGATTTAAGTAGATCTGATCTGATCCGATCCGATCCAATCATCCATTAGATTTTGGACTTTGTTATCCGATCCGATTAACATTGGACATCCAATCCAATCCAAATCCAATGGATGATTGTATCAGATCGGTTCCATCCAGTGGATGTTACTATTGGTTATCCATTAGATTAGATTGGATATCGGTTTATTGGATGTTGGACTGTCATCCGATAACCGACCGATCCGATTTGGATGTTGAAAGTTTAGATCCGATTACAATTGGATCGATTATAGTCGGTCGGTTGTAATTGGATTGATCGACTTAAATTGGATCGGATGACTTTATGCACACACCTAACTGAAACTCAAAATTCCATCCAAGTTGCCAACTCGCAACAATATATTTTCTTTCTTCTATAAACAATAAATAACCTACAATTATAATGTTTTGAATGGATTTGAATTTCATTAAATTTTTTAAAATATTTGATATATTTGATTTATAGGATTTGAAAATTTAATTTTTATATATAATTTATTAAAAACAAACTTATAATAATTATATAAATAATTAAATTACTTTTTATTGATTAATTATTATGAAAGAAATGTTTTTTACCATCTTCTAAAACATTATTACAGAAAAATCCTATAAAATCCTTTAAAATACCAACTATTTCACGAAATTTCTAAATCCAATGAATTAGAAAGTTTGGATTCCAAATCTTGCAAACCAAAACACGGCTCAAGGAAAAACCACTATTGGACAGACTCATTCCACTTCGATGACAATGGGTGTTCTACAGACCATAAATCGTTGTCTTCCATGACATGTGCTGGAATCATCTGGAGACTTATTTGATTTACGCTGACGAAAAGACCCATGATAAAATAAAGTACCAAAAATTTGGCCCATCTCCGTGCTCTTTCTAACAAACAATGAACGAATCAAAGACCATTGTTTCCTTGAGAAAACAAAGAGAAGATTGCAATGTTTTCAGCATCTTAAAAATAACATGATAAGTGACATGTTATTTAAGATTTCACAATGAAAACCACCCACCCTTTTCTATATCCTTGGATCTGTAATTGGCTACTATCATACCTAGTTCACACACTGCAAAACTTCATTTCTTTGTTTCACGATGAACGACTCGAGGGACAAACGCCAAACCACGAGTATGCCGACGACCAAAACTGATGGCCGAAGGAGACGAATCTGAAGGAGTCAACTTGGAAAGAGCGGAAACGAGGCCATCGAGAGTCTCTTCTTCTACTTGCATTGCACTTGATCCTTCACCATCTTCTGTGGCATGTTGTTGCTTTTTCCGTTGGGTTTTCTTCACCCGCTCTTTTTTTGACGGGCGGGACTTTTTAAAGAACTCGAATGAAGACGGGAAGTTGTGTTTGTCCATTAGATGTTGATGCCGACTCTTGTAGCTTTTGAGCTTTACACCACACCCCTCAACAAGGCATTCATACTGTTCCACAAACAGGCAACTGTATATCAGTAACCTGCATCACTTACTTTTCGAATTTGAACCGGATACGGATTCTGTTATATGTTCAAGAACCAAAATTTTCTGTACGTGGTACATTCTGTCGAGCGTTACTGAACTCTTGTCCATTTTCCAGTTACTATACTTGGGGCTAGATCCAGATTATTTTTTGAATGGGACGCAAACTAATCAACGAAATATAAAATAAAATTATAAAAGTATGGTTTAATAAAAATGACGTACAAATACTTTTTTTCTTTTTCTGGTGTTTGTTACCAAACAAACGAGGGGACTTGAACTTGCAACATGTAATGTCACATGCTTTTTGTTAACTTAGAGGAGCGCAATTGAATTAAAGCCGGACATCTTTAAGACCTAAACTTTTTGTCCATTGCATCGGGATGATAGAGCAGGGGCACGGGAATTACCAGAACTATTGCTGACCTCAAAGATTTGGAGGAGAGGGGTTGCACAGGCAGGGCAGAACCACATGGATAGATACGGTGGCACGGCCACCACTTCATGGTTCCGTCATAAGGGAAAACATTACGTTTCTAAACTGTGGCACTGTATTATTTTGTTGGTGCCACCATATAGTTTTTAAAACTCAAATGTTAACACAAGACTTTAATGGCTAAGATGGTAAATGCTCCTATCTTTGTACGAAAGGCCCAGGTTCAAGTCTCACATTTGTTAAATTTGTAGTTTTTTAGCTTAAATTTTGGTTTTTTTACCTCTTGTGTTTTCAAAATATATGTAACTGGACTCAAACATGAGTCTTTTCTATGTAAGGACAAGAACCAACCAACAGATTTATACTAATATCGTGAAGAAAAAAAAATTAGATATTTTTTATAGTCAAATGGTGCACCATTTTACAAAAATTCAGGCTCCACCTCTGTGCAGGGGTGCAATGGATTAATTAACAAAGTGTTGAGCATAAAAACGAAAAGAAAATAGGTTCTCTATCAAGTTGAAAAATTACCATAGGATAACCTCGTGCGGCTTTTGCTTGAAAGAAGGAATCGTGTGCCTCAGATACATGTATGCTAAGCAGGCGAGATGTAGGGTATACTCTAGAGCAGACAGAGCAACAGGCCGTGTGCCGTGCATTGTAATGATCTTCAAACTCTGCCAAGGATCTCAAGCGTGCTACACAACCGACTATTGGACAGAACACCTCCCTGGCCAAACAAAATAGTCATCTTGGTAAAAAGTAATGCGTTATGTTGTTTTGAAGCAGCCATTTTTTTATCATAACAAATAAAACCAACCAAACGAACCCGGTATATCCCACCTAGAAATGGAGTCCGGGAAAAGTAAAAGGTATGCAGACCTAACATACACCTTAATCGTAATAAACTGGATTCTAAATAAGTTGATGAGTGGAGACAGCCTTTTTTAATAATAACAAATCCAGACTCTGCATATGTTGTTTTGAAGCAGCCTTTTTTAATCAGATCACATTTCTGTATGATTTTCAAGTACAAGAACAGCTAATGAAAGAAGCCAACCGAAAATAGAAATCTGTATCATGACACATAATTTCTGATTGATCAACATTACCAAACAATCGAGATAAATAAAGACGACGATGATGAATCTTATCAACTTCCCATTTAGGTTGACATGATATGCATCATTTAGTAGACGAAGCAATGTGTACAAGAACTTGTAGTAATGATGCTAGGTCTTTGTCTCATGAATGTACGAGAACTTGTAGTAATGTGACATGTTCTTGATATTGATGTCTCTAAACAGGATGATGAAGATGCTGTTGCAGATTGTGATTTCATTCTTAAGCCAAAACCTTCTAGTCTTCTTTAAACTCAACTTACAGTCTTTTTTACACCTATCTGAAAGATATTACATATAATTAATGATCTTTAACAATATATCCATGATTAGATTCCCAGTTGCATCTCAATGTCTTAAATATTAGCAGAAGTCAAGAAGCCATGGCTGATTTAATTCAGACTTCTCCTAGAATATATTAATTATTAGTTGATGACGATAAACAATATTGAAATTTAATAGATATATAAGTTGCGCCTATAGCAACTCTAAACTTCCGCTTAATTGCAAAATTCTGTATCACCTAATGAGAATGGGGATGGTAACAAGTGAAATGAGCAATTTACAAACATGACCATTCTACCCTTGGTTGTCCCTCATCCTAATTATCTGAACAAAGTGAAGCTTGCTATATGATGAAGTCAAACGAGTAGATGTTACAATCCATATGGTTGATTCGAATATTCTTCAATGGATTTAGATATTTATGACATTCAGAAGTAAACCAAAACATAAGCCATTGTTTTTTTAATCACTTCATGGCCTTCATCAACAAACCTAACCAAGTCCTGCCGGTCATAATCTACTTTGTACCCTGTGATGACCGCAAAGTAATTTTGTTTAACAATTATGCAAATAGGCAACAGTACAGCAGAAAATAAAAGAACAGGAAGTAGGAGGAATAAAATTACAAATTGTCTAACAGTACCTATGCTCGTCTTCCAAATTTCTAAGCTGTTGTTTTTCCTCTTCGGTTAAATCCAGAGCAACCTGCACATCAAAATGAGAGAGTAATAGTTTAGTCAAGCTTATTATATCGGGCAAACAGCTCAATCAAAGATGGGAAACTAATATAAGTTGGGCTGCTGACAAATTTTTTCCACATTTCTCCAAGACTACTAGTGGATGTGTGTGGCATTCGTAACTTTGTATTGTAGAATTGACTATGAATTTGCAAGAGAAGATGCATAATGAAACTCTCATGCGCTGCAGGCCAAGCTGTCGGATCAGTGATCACATCCGGAAATGGCAATGAATTGCACATGAATAATGGGTTTTTTCCAAAATTACCCTTGTCAGCTTGTGCCGCATTTTTTTAATCAACATCTCATTAAATAAATAGTTTACCAACATGCATAAATCAAAAATTGTAATCAAACAATAACACTTTATTGTTCTAAGGGTCCATTTAGTTTGTAGGAATGGAAAGGAATTGGGGGGATTTGGAATTCAAATTTATTCCAATCCCGTGTTCGGTTTGCAGGATTGCTCAGATTTGAAATCCTAGGATTTCTTTAAAATCCATCAAACATAGAATTTTGAAATCCCACGGGGTGGTTGGGATTTATGGGATTTCCATAACACATCTATAATCTCAAAACATGGTTCCAAAACACATCTATAATCTCAAAACATGGTTCTGGTAGGATTTGTATATATTAATGTTTAAAAATATGTTAAAAACATTTGTTTTCTAATAATCAATTAATAAAAAGGAATTTTAATTATTCTTATAATTATTTATAATTTGTTTTCTATAAATTATTTACAAAAATGCAATTCAGTTCCATTTCAAATCCTACAAACCAAACATGCAAAGATTTCAAATCCTTTCTAATCCAAATCCATCTGATTCCAAATCCTTCTACGAAATCCAAATCCCTCAAAACCATTCCATCAAACCAAACAGATCCTAAATATATTTTAAGTTATTAAATATTGTCTTATGAACTCGTTAAATTCATATTATTTTGTTATTTCAAATAATTATTATTATTTTAATTTTTTGTCATTTAAAATATTTATTACACATTTTATTTTCATTCAACATTTATGTAAAAATAAGGTTAAAATGGTAATTTTTATTATTCAGAGTATTTATCTGGACAAAAATCAAACAATAATTTATCCAGATAGATTAATGCTTAGAGACAACTTAATAGATTTAGAACTTAAAGGATAAAAAATCAAACAACCCCCAAGGCAAATCTGGAGGAGGACATTAACAAGTTGATTGCATTCTAAATTTTCTATTTCGGAACCAGTTATTCTTCTCCAAGTCAGTCGGAATTTCAAGTTTACATGCAAGGCACTATTACCTAATTATGGATTATCTATTGATATCCAACTCATAAAGTAGATGAAACTGTCTTTATGCTTCGATTTCAAGGACACCCTAATCAGAACACCCATATAAAGCCAACCTGGATTTCCAAGCTTCTAATGTGGAACAAATGCGTTCTTTGTAAACCAAAAAAAGAACCACATTTTAGGTAGGATTGTGAAACTTCACACGACATATGATCTAAACTTAAAGCCTATAGGCTAAAGTAGATACCTTCTTCATGATGTCTTGCAGGTCAGTAAATACCAAACCATGTATGATGTAACCATGTAAATGTAGCAAAAATATACTGTTCTATTTGTGCACTTCAATTCACGACAATCTTTTTGACCTATGAGCGGAGAAAGTTCCATTTAATGCTTGGCCTAACGATCTAAACTTAAAGCCTATAGACTAAAGTTGGTAGCCGCATTGTTCGTGACATCTTTTAAGTTGGGATATTTCAAACCATCAAATGTAGTGGAAACAACCATGTTCTCTTTGTGCACTTCAATTCACCACAACTTTTTCTTAGACTGTGAGGGGGCTTCTGTTGAGTTGTGACTTAATTCCATGATGCATAGTAATGCCAAAAATCCTCCATAGAGTCTGCACGGTCGTGCCAACTTGACAGAAGTTTCTAGACCAAAGGCATGGCCTCATGAAATTATGAAGAAAATGTTGCAGGATCGTGCTGAGCGAAACGAGATTGTTCGCGACTACATTTCTGATTTCTCTCATACAAGGTCACTTTCAGATCAAAGAGAAAGCAGGGGAGACCAAATGCAACTTCAAAGCTCGCATTCGAAGTGGCATGTATTACCTGACGGAATTTAAAGTCATTTTAGTTCATTTATTGACACAATCCCTAATACAGCTCAAAGAGAACACAAGTTTCCCTTGGTAGAGTTTGTTTGCAAGGCTTTTCTTCCATCCCAGACCTGAGTTTTCAAATCCCGTTAGTGTCCTTTTCGTTTTTAGCTTTTAATTTCAGATTTATTATGTTTCTGAAAAGAAATTGCAATAAAAGATTTGAACACAGGCCTCACATATGAAAAGCAATGAACTAACCAAATGATCAATGATAATTTTGTGAAAAATATCCCTTTATTTGTTTCTTATAGTCAAATGGTGCCACCACTTGAAAAAAAAATCTAGGTCTCTCTCGGGTAGAAGTCTATCATTTGTATGTAAAAAGTTAAGTAATAACAACAACAATAATACTCTTTTTGTCCAAAAATAAAAGTCAGTTTTTGACGAAAACATAACACCAGGCAAATACATTGCCTAAAAACATAAAAGCAAATATGCAGTAGTTTTGATTGCCTATGAGTGTACAGTTCATTTGTGAAGTGTGACCATCAAGAGACGGACCAAGAGATTTTTTCAAGTAGTGGCACCATTTGACTATAAAAAACAAAGATATGAATATTTTTCACTAAATGATCATTGTAGCAAAATATTTACGGTTACACAAAACAAAATGAAACGGTAGCACCTTTCACAACAAGATAATTTTTTACACGGTAGAGGAATGAAGGTGCTACCGTATCTATTAAAGTGGGTCCTCCCCCTGACATCAAACTTATTCACTATAGTTCTTTGATTCTTTTCCTTCTCGTCTCAAGTCTACCCGACTGCAACTATCATTGATTCATTTCTACCAATCCAACACTAATGCTTCAATTGCCCCGGTACCATAACGTTTAACAAACCTTTCAGTTCTCGTTAGAGCTGGGGCAGAGAAGCAATCAACAGAATGGGTCCCTCCTTTCTTTCCCTGGCTCGTTGTTTTCTTTCTCTCCTCATTCGTGCATCTAGGAGAACAGGCTAACGAGCGAGTATAGTTGCTTCAAGGATATGAAAAGGAGTTTCGGTCTTGCGACCGTACTCCCCAGGCGGAGTGTTTCACGCCCAACCTACTTAAACAACCTAAAGGCTTGGTCCCGCCCCGTTTGGAGAATGACCCCTTATGGCACACGGCTTAGTCAGTTATTCTCGCAGTTCAGATATTTGAAACGGCTGTCGCATCTGAACTCAAGTGACAATAAAATATTATGGATAGAACAATTAAACAGCCGGATCTCTCATCTGAACGCCGATTGATACATGTATAACCACTAATTACGGTCGGCATCTCAAATCATAAAACAAAGGGAAATTCGTTGAAATCGAATCCCAAACGGATAGAAATCGGTATAATTAAATAAAATACGAGAAAGAATTATAATTCCGAAAAAGCAAAGTGAAATGAGATTAAGAAAAAAACGACGAACCTGTTTAGCGAGAAGTTCGCGTTCAATATTTCCAGAAGCGAAGAAAGGATCGTCAGGGCCGAATCGACGAAGAACTGGAAGCCAGTACTGGAATTCTGACTGCAGTTGCGTCTGTGTTTGCAAATGATTATCCACCATCATCATCTCTGTACTCTAAATTTTGGGAATCACAAGCGAGTTTGCGGGATATATCCCAAAATTTTCTCCTATCGCAAAGAAAATGACGCTTCAAACCACCTGATAATCAGGGTCCGGTTTTCGGGTCGGGTCAAATAATCCTCATACTCTAACGGCTCTTTTGTGATGTCAGTGTGATCCAGCTGGCTGGTCATTTGGGTCCGTAAACCGGGTCGGTGTGCTCTTATTTCATAATATGAATAATTTAATATTTTGTTGTTGTAAATAAATAAAATAAATTACATAAAAAAAGTAACGTATTTTAATATGATTCTTATTTTAGATAACATATTTTTATAACTTTTATTTTAGTATCTCAATTATAAAATATGAAACTTATAAGCATCTAGACTATCTAATAACCTATAAATATTAATTATGATCAGGTTTTTAGTGACGTGTTATTATTATTTTTTTTTTTTAAATACCAGGTAAGAAAATATCCTAACATATGTATCTAAAAAACATGGACGATACTTATAGGTTATTAGATAGTAAATAATTGTAATAACCTATAAGCATAGACGGACCTAGTTAAGTGTCATGGGTGGCACGTGCCACCGTATCGTTTCTTCGCCGAATGGTAAAAAATTTAGGTTTCGTGAACGGTGCAACCGTATTAATTAGTTGTGTGCCACCGTATGTATTTTGAAATTACAATGAGAACAAGTTTTATTTGGTAGAGTTTGTTTGCAAGGCTTTTATTCCACCCCACACCCAAGTCCGAATCATGTTAGTGTCATTTTCTTAGTCAAACAATGCCATCATTTGAAAAAAAATTCTGTATATTTGTTTCTTATCGTCAAACGGTGTCACCGTTTGAAAAAAAAAATTATGTATTTTTTTTCTTATGGTCAAATGGTGCCACCGTTTATAAAAAATTATGGGTATGTCCCTGCCTATAAGTATCGCCCATGTTTTTTATTTATTTATTTTACGAAAATGCCCTAACATTGGTATTTCTATCATAAAAACGGGTAATAACACAATAAAGCTTTAGATGTCATAACACGTCTGTCTGTTGGTTATAAACAAAAATGTACTGATACTTCGTCAATGCTCGATCAAAGTTAAATCTCCGATACCTCGTTAATGTTCAATCAATGTTACATCTGGTATGCTCCATTTGGTCCTCTTGAACGGAGTTTCTTCCATTTCTCTTGCTTCAACTTCAAATAAGAATGAAAAAACATGTCTAACTACTTACTGACTTTTGAATAACAATTCGGACAAATGTAATAATTTAGGCTTCCTTCTTGTTGAAACAATTAATGAGCTGAAACACTCGCTAACTTCATTCTCAATTGCATCACACGATGTATCGGTCTTGAAAAATACTCTTGAAAGAACTAGCAACATCATCCTGATTGGCATCAGAAAACACATCATTTAACCGGTCTTCATTTGAGTTCGTTAAGGCCATCGTCGCTAGTGGAATCCCCTTCCTCATGTTCCCTAGTGGTGAAACAAACGTGAGTTATGAAATATCAAGATCAAGACTAATGTTCCTGTTTTCTAATCTTCCCGCAGCAAGTTAACGGATTTGAAAGAGAAAAAAGATGGATCGTATGACCAACAACATATAACTTTATCCAATATTACCTTTTTATAACAGCACCTCCAACAACTTCTCTGAAGTGGAGAAAATGAAAATTTTGAGTTAATATTTTGTTGCAAGAGCTTCCCAAAACGATCTCCAAAATAAAGGAACTATGAGAGGTACGGGTTTTTTTTTTTAAATATGGAAAACACCCCAAAAATTATTACCAAGTGAGAACACCAATAGGAAACTTTGAAAATAAATATTTAATAAATAATTAAAATATTTTAATATTATAATCAATGTTGGATTCTGTAAAATGGGGATTTATTGGAAATAAAAAAATAGTTTTTTTAAGATTTTGACTTTCTAATTTTTTTTTTAAAGAATTTGTTGGAGGGATGCTTTAAATACTCTGAAAGTTATAAAATAATTAATTTCTAATTAAAATAACTATTTGATAAAAATTATAAATAAATGACTTTGAATGATATAAAAGAATTAAAAGAAGTATCAATTTAGAGGTTTGTTGACTAAAAATTTATCTAATATGATGATAGGAATTAAAATAGTTTGTCATTTCTTGTCCTATTAATTATGTTAAAACATACATTTATTGAATTTAACATAAATTTATTTAATTTAAAGATTTTTAAGTACTGATGTCATAGACAAAGCCTTTTAAGGTCCAAACGGGGTTGGTTTTGAACGAAACTTTGCGTGAGCCCTCTGGGACATAAAAAACGAATGTTCCAACAAAAAAAATACAGATTTGGGGTTGGGATTATTCCGAGGGCTGGCCCGGGGGGCGGGACGCCTCGGGAGGGCGTTTACGTCCGTTTCACGATCAAACGGAGCCGATTTTGCACGAAACTTTGGGTGAGCCCTCGAGAACATATTTAAACACGCCCCGAACTAGGATATTAACTTTTACAGCCCGAAATTTTCTCGGAGGGCACGACGTGCGGGGAACGGGCACCCGGCGTGCATGGAACGGGCGCCGGACGTGCAGGGAACGGGCGCCCAATGTGCGGGGAACGGGCCCGACATGCGGGGAACGGGCGCCCGACGTGCGGGGAACGGGCACCCGGCATGCGGGGAACGGGCGCCGACGTGCGGGGAAAGGGCCCGACGTGCGGGGAATTAAGGTGGAGGCACCAGAAGCATAGGTTCAATGTGGTGTGAGGTGTTGGAGTCGGAGCCTATACGCTTTCTTTTGTTAAAGAGAATGGCATATAAGTAAAAGTTTTGGGCTGAATCTTGGCCACACTTCTTTCTTGGCGGACCGAATAGCTATTGGTTGTCCAATTAAGTCATAACTAAACGATTATGTATGGCTTATCGAATAAGCTATACAACTTATATAGCTCATTAAGCCGCAAACAAACATCTCCTTGATCATACGAAGGATTAGATGCATATTTATGTCATTCAAACTAGTGGTGTTCAGAAAATCATACGATCCAATTTAAATCGGCCGATCTAATTAGAACTGATCGACCAAAATCGGATATCCAAATGTAATCGGGTTGGGACGGGTCCAAGTGCAGCATCCAAATCGTCGGCCGGTTCTTGGATGATAGTCCTCCATAAAAAATAATCGAACTAATCCAATTCAATGATCATCCAATTCTCCATCCAATAACTATCCAGTTATCATCCAATTAATAATTATATATAATTATTAACATTTAACGATATTGTTTTTTACTCAATATTTACATACATTGTTTTTTTAATAGTTTAAGAAAATATATGAATAATTGGTTGAGTATTAAATCAAAAGATTGGACGAATCCAATCTGATCCAATGGATGGAACCGATCCAATCTAATCATCCATTGGATTTGGATCGGATCGGATCGGATGTTCAAGGTTAATCAGATGAATTGGATCGAATGATAAAATCCAACATTCATTGAATAATTGGATCAGATCGGATCCACCTAAATTCATTGGATTTCAACCGATGAACACTCCTGAATTCAAACGATTCATTCAGAATTTTTTTATGATTGCACTATATAGTATATAAAACTCTATTAATCATTTTGTACCGAAATATCCCTATGTACCAAACAGTTCTTAAATAGGTTGCAGCCTCGTTTAAACACACTTGAATTTATGTAAACGAAAATACCATTTCTTTCAACAACAAGAACAACACTTCATCAATCAATATAACTCAAACTAAAGTTTGGGAACATGTGAAAAATGACTGAGATGTCCTTAATCAAATGAAGACACATTTGACGATAAATCTATCGATGAAAATGTGTAGATTAAAAAAATTGTCTTAAACATTAAGTCGATGAATACATGCAAGCAAAATATTACAATAAATGGTAACTTACGTTTTATCAAACCACACGTACACTTGATGAGCACAAAAATTTGTTTACAATTTGAACACAAAAATACGATACACGAATAACGTTATAAGAACCACTCACTTAATCTTGTACGTACAATTGACTATGAAATATACTCGGTGTCTTAATGTAGAATGTTTTGCATTTCCTTATTTACCCATTTCAAAGAAATTATATATCGCGCAACAAATATTTCATATTTTTATCATTAACAGTCTATATCTATACTATATTATAAAATATTTGACAAAAACTCTTAAAAACCGTTTTTTATGCATAAAGTACTGTATATTGATGCATATTACTTAAAAATTCAAGATTACAAGTAAATTATACATTAAGTACACCTTATTAAAGCTCAATGTTTGAATTCGTTTAACTAACTACGGATAAACATAATTAAATAGAGGATAAATATCTTATTTTATAATATAAAAAATCTAAAATATAATTATGATAATTATCGAGTTTCTAACCGAATGTTTAATTATTATCTTTAATAAAAATTATATTATTAAATCAAAAATAAATTACTTTGTTGTTATACCTAAATTAAATTATAATAAAAAATTGAATTAAAAAAGTTACACAAAAAAAAAACGAAAACTATTAAATAGTTAATTTAATACTAATATCGATTTTTTTTTAAAAAATTATGCTATCTTCAAATTTATATTTCATTCAAAAATAAAAACATTATCGCTTTCTCAAAACCACATAAAATTATATTACATCGATAGAGACAAATAATAAAAAATAAACATTAAAATGGAGATTTATTTCGCTGCATTGCGCGAGTACCCTTCTAGTTGTTATATTGAGAGCTTGGTGAAAGTGTAAGGTTTCTTATAGGGTTGTTCACGGGCGGGATGACCTGTTAGATCCGTCCTGTCCGGCTCGCTAGAAAAGCAGGTTTGGATTACCATTCTCAAATAAATGGGTGGGTCTAGGCTGACTTGTTAAAATTAATGGACAGACATGAGCAATGAAAAAAATATATTTGGACAGACCCGTCAGACCCATTAATATTTTTATAATAATTAACTTTTATGATTAAAATTAAAAACTCTTAATACTTATCAATTCCTACGTAACTATAATTTATGATAATGACATTCTTTAAAAATCTGAAATTTAAAAATATAATTAC